TTAATAAAATTTGTTAATTAACTATTATATTTTGTTTTATTAGATAAAAAATTCAAAGCTATTAAAGTTGAATAAGAAAAAAAATATATAGTTGAGCGACGATGAGTGTCTGTGAAAAACTCTCCTTATTTGAAACTTCTCCTTCTACTCAAGAAATCGATCTTTTGGATCGGAGTACCAAGAAAATCAAAGATCCAGAAACAAAGGCTATTGCAGAGCACTCACGAAGGGGGCCACTAAGTTCTGGTATAAAAGATGTGGCCATGACTGCCCAGAGCACCGACGAAGCTCCTCAGGACACTTTAATGGTGGAATCACAAAATCCAACAACAACATTAGTGAATCAAACACAAAATTCCCTTTCCTACAAGGATAAGCTCATGGGGGAGGAAAACCCAGTTATTCTCTCCTTTAATACCATACCCAGCTACATGGATGAAGAATCTGATATTGATGATGACCCAGAGTATGACGCCCCTATCGTCTTATTATCAAAAGCGAAAAAACGGAGAATCCGAGAACCTTGGATGAACGCTATCATCATCAAAGCCTTCCATCCTAAACCCCTGGGCTACAATTATGTTTTTCCTAGAGTCCAAGCTCAATGGAAACCAAATGGTAAGTGGGACTTCATTGATCTTGGATTTGACTTTTTTCTTGTTCGTTTTCAAGATAATGAGGATCTGAGCAAAGTTATCATGGGAGGACCATGGTTTATTGGTCCTTATTGCCTCACCATGAGAAGATGGGAACTTAACTTTGACCCGGAAGAGGCTATTCGCACTACTACCACTACGGCAGTCTGGGCTAGACTTCTTAATCTTTCAGCAGATTACTATGATCTTACAACACTTCAGAAGATTGGGAATAAGATAGGCCCCCTACTAAGGGTTGATGACCATACTGCACTTCATACTAGAGGCCAATACGCAAGGGTGTGTGTTCAAATTGATCTTGCACAACCTGTTACCGGGTATGTTAGAATTGGAAAGAAGAAACAGAGGGTTAGTTATGAAGGTGTTAATGCTCTGTGTTTCCATTGTGGACGTATGGGTCACAGAAATAACCAATGCCCACAACTTAATACTACCTCTGAAAGTCCTAAAGAAGCTGCCAATATTGTATCTCAATCAACCCAGGCTCCTAGCTCTACAACTCTAGTTGCTAAGGCCATGACCTCCTCTACCACCTTAAATCCTATTCTGCAGACACCTACAGCTGACCAATCCTTTGTTGAGGATAATTATGGCCCTTGGTTATTGGTGGAGCATCGCAAAACCAAGAGAAAACCTTTTCTGAAGGCGTCTACGCTAGAGAAGATGTCGGTAAATCCCAAATCAAGAGAGACACATGACTGGGCCGTTCCAACTCGTAGTACCGGTTCCAAAACTCAACGGGCCACCAACAGTTCCCTGTCAAATCATCTTAACGGTAATGTATCCAATGCATTAAATGTTGCTCAGCCTTTGAAGCAAGGTCAAAAGATTTACAAAGCCAAAGCCCCAATAGAGGATTCCTCTAAACTAGAACCCAAAACCCAACAATGGGTTAGTAAAGCTCCTAGCAAGGCACAAGGCCCATCTGAGGTTATCACCATACAAGAGCCCAAAACTAGTTTAAAGATTGCTTCTAATCCGAACCCGGGACCTGATATCCAAAGGCCCTTTAGCCCTTGTCTTGATCATATTGCCGGCTCCTCAGAGTTAGGACAACCTACCCTTACCACCCCCATCCTTTGTACCTCCACTAGCACCACTGGAATCGACTCCCAAATCTTATTCCCACAAAACTCTACCTCTCCTTTGTTTAACCATGGATTTGTACCAAATCCTGCCCCAAGATTGGAAAACCCAAATGTTTCTAGTAAAAGACCAGATGACTGTTCGAATGGAGACAACTGTGGAGTGGATACTGGATTACTCATCACCCAGGGGGTCCAAATGGTCTCTGGATCAACTGTTCATGGTGTGGCGAGCCCCCATTCTCACAAACATAGAGGTGAATCTCCCGGAGATAGCTCACTTGATCCCCCCAGCCGAGGAAAATCCAGATCCAAAAAAGTTATGTCAGATCGAGAATCTTGAATCGACAGGAGACGTCACAATGCTCGACGAGGAGTGGAGCCTTATCAAGCCCTTACTATTGACAAATTATGCTTACAAACACCACTTGAAGGTTGTCCAATTACAAGGGAAAATGGAATGCATTCATCTAATATTGAAAGCTTTATTGTCGATAGAGACGCACACTGAGAGGGACTTCCAACTTCTTTTCTTACCATATCATTTCCCCCTCGCCAGGTACCTGTCATGGACATTCCAGTCCTTACTGCCGGTGTTCAACCCGCTGAGAGCCCAGATAGCATTGGGACTATCAAATAATCTTGACTGGATTATGAAAATTATCTCATGGAATTGCCGTGGGGCTCTGAAAGCAGGTTTTCGCAAAGGTGCTATGGATCTTAAAAGAATTCATAATCCAGCTATGCTACTTATTCTAGAAACAAAAATTTATGGACAAAATGCTCAAGAGGTAGCTGACTCTCTTGGTTTCCCAAATTCTTGTGTTGTCAACTCAGATGGTCTCACTGGAGGTTTATGGCTCTTGTGGGATGACTCTAGGCTTACGGTGGACATTCTGTCAACCAGTAATCAAGCAACACATGCCGTTATCCAGGTTAGTAATAACCCTTTATTTCCTTTTAATTGGTTTTTCTCATGTATTTACGATAGACCACATTTTGAGATTAGAAATATCTTATGGCAAGAGCTAACTACCATGGCTAATGTCATCCAAGGCCCTTGGATGATTATCGGGGATTTTAATGACGTGGTTGATCAAAGTGAGAAGTTTGGAGGCAATGACATTTCCCAAACTCGTGTTCGAGCTTATCTTGATTGCATGAATAACTGCAATATGGTGGATCTGGGGCTTATTGGGAATCGTTTTACATGGGTCAACATGCATTTCTCTAACCAGCTGATTAAAGAAAGACTTGATAGAGCTTGGGCCAATCTTGATTGGAAACTTAACTTTCCTGAAGCGTCCCTTTTTCACCTCCCCCGTACCCACTCCGATCATTGCCCTATTTTACTTGACCTTAACCCCCTCTGTCCTCGCCCAGGGTGTCGTCCTCCCAAGCTTGAAAAATTTTGGATTGAGCATCCAGATTTCCAAGACATCAACCATAAAGTTTGGGTTGATAATAACCTCAATACTACTAAATGTTTAGAACTTACTATGAATCAAGCCAAAGCATGGAGCCAAGCAACTTTTGGGAATATCTTCAAAAAGAAGAAGAAAGTCCTTAGTCGTATCAAAGGTATTCAAATGTCTCCTGCTTATAATTTTTCTTCTTTTCTTTGGAGTCTAGAAAAGGATCTCCTCCAAGAGTATAATGACATTCTCAGTTGGGAGGCTGATCTCTGGTTCTTGAAATCTCGCGCCAATTGGATTACTGATGGTGATAGGAACACTAGGTTTTTCCATGTGACCACTTTGAAGCATCGAGTTCAGAATAGGATATTTGGCTTGTTTAATGACCAAGGCAACTGGATTTCTGATAGCAGTGGAATAACATCAATTGCCATTAATTTCTTCTCAAAGCTATTTACCACACCTTATAGCCGCTCCTTTTTTGACTCATATCATTCTATTGATCACCAAGCTCAAACTTCCCATTGCCTTGATTCCATTAAAGGTTGCCCAAGTGATAAGGAGATTTGGGATGCTGTCAATTCTTTGAAATCTTTTAAGGCTCCGGGCCCTGATGGCACTCATCCTTTCTTTTACAAACGCATGTGGCCTCTGATTGGGGGGAAAATTAGTGCTGAAATCAGAAATATCTTTCAGGATAGGCACTTCCCCTCCAAATGGAATGAGTGCTCTCTTGTCCTTCTTGCTAAACTTAAATCTTCTGAGCACATTCACCAATTCAGACCCATAAGCTTATGTAACACTGTTTATAAGATCATATCTAAGATCTTGGTGCATAGGATCAAGCCCTGGATGAAAAAGATTATCTCTCCATGCCAATCTAGTTTTATCCCTGGCAGGCAAGGTACAGATAATGTTGTGATTCTTCAAGAACTTGTTTACTCCTTTTCAAAAAAATCTGGGAAAACAGGTGACATAATTTGTAGGCTAGATCTTGAAAAAGCCTATGATAGGCTAGAGTGGGGCTTTATTTATGAGACCCTCTTATTTTTTCAGTTCCCTCCTGATATTATCAAACTTATCATGTCTGTCGTTAGTTCTACATCAATATCCATCCTCATTAATGGGGGCAAAACAAAAGAATTTTGTCCATCCCGAGGAATTCGTCAAGGTGACCCACTTTCACCTTACATCTTTATTCTTTGTATGGAGTACCTTTCCCTAAGAATTTCTGCAGACATGGATGCTGGGGTTTGGAAGGGCACTAAAGTTAGGAGAAGTGGTCCCTTTCTTTCTCATATTTTTTTTGCTGATGATATCATCTTCATTGGAAAGGCTACGATATCCAACTGTCTCCACCTACAAAAAGTTCTACAATTCCTTTGTGAAAGGTCGGGCCAAAAGATTAACAATCTTAAATCCAAGGTGCTTTTTTCTAAGAATGTTGACCAAGCCACCAGAGACAATCTTTGCTCCATTCTTGGATATTCCCAAACTGAGGACTTGGGTAAATACTTTGGCGTCCCTATTTCAGCCAAAAAACTAAACCATAGCAATTGCCAATTTATTGTTGATAGAGTCCGTAATAAACTTTCTGGATGGAAGTCCAAATTTCTGTCTTTTGCAGGAAGAACAACACTTGCTAAGTCAATTATGGCAACTGTTCCAAACTACTATATGCAATCTTCTCTGCTACCAGCCTCTATTCACAAAGAAATTGATCAGATTTCTCGTAATTTTATTTGGGGATCAGAGATTGAGCAAAAGATGATTCATCTTGTTAATTGGAACGTTGTTTCTAGCCCAAAACAATTGGGTGGACTTGGCTTGAAAAGTGCTAGAGAAACTTATCTTGTTGCCATGTGCAAGCTAAATTGGAGACTTCACCAGGAGAAGGATAAAATCTGGAGTGACATGCTTAGAAGGAAATATACTATTCATGACTGTCATACTAGGCCAACTAGTACCGGATCTTCTATTTGGAAAGCTAAAACTAAGGGCTATGATCTTTTCAGCCTTGGTTTGAAATGGGTGCCTCTTACAAGAACCAATATCTCCTTTTGGACTGATTGTTGGGTTACTGAGACACCCCTTGCCTCTATTGTGTATGGTCCCCACTATCCAGACTTCAAAGCTATCACCATCTTGGACTTTTTTAGTGCTGGGAATCATGCCCCTGATCTTATATCTTATTCTCTCCCTGATAATATCTTCAATAGACTTAAAGCTATTCCTCTTTCTATTTTTAACAATAGAGAGGATTCCTTTGCTTGGAAGGGAACTGCCAAAGGTGAGTTCAGCTCGGCTTCTGCTTATTACATCCTTAAAACTCCTCCTATTTCTACTAATACTGATTGGGATTAGATATGGAAGCTACCAACCATCCCAAAAATCCAACACTTTTTTTTGGTTATTGGCTCACCAGAGACTTAAATGCTTTAGTTTCTTGCATCATTTAAATATTTCAACTACTGCTAATTGTCCTCGCTGTCATGTTGATGAGACTGTGGAACATCTTATCCGGGTATGTCCTTCATCAACTGATATCCTTCATGAGTTATTTCCCAATATCTCATCACAGCAGCAACAAAAGCTTGACTTTATCTCCTGGCTGAAATTTAATGTGCACTACAAGGTTAGGACGCATATTTTGAACATCCCCTGGAACATTCTATTTTGCTTTGCCATTTGGGGAATTTGGCTCCAACAAAATCAGATTGTTCACTCCCCCCACCCATACCAGATAATTAACTTTCGAAATATTATTGTTGAAAAAGCTGCAAAATTTTGGGCCTCTGTTACTCCTAAGGACAATCGTATTTATCAAGAGGAGAACTTTAAATGGGACAAACCTCCCTCAAATGTCATCAAACTAAACACGGATGGGTCAGCTAAAGGTAATTCAGGCATTTCAGCTACAGGGGGTATTTTTCGGGATTGCCAAGGTAACTGGAAACTGGGTTATGCTAGAAAAATTGGATGGTCTAACAACCTCGCAATAGAACTTTGGGCCATTAGAGATGGATTACAACTGGCCACAGATTTTTTTCATATTATTGTTGAATCGGACTCTCTTGTTGCTATCCAGCTCCTACACGAGCCCCCTCCTGCTTCTCATAATCTGAGTTCCTTAATATTTGACTGCAGGGAGTTAATCCAACAAATTCCCAAGGCGGAACTCAAGCACATCGTCCATGAGTCGAACATGGCTGCTGACCAGATGGCGAAACAAGGACATGTCATTGACTATGATTTTGTTGTTTTTGAAGACATTTCGCCTTCTATAAATCA